ATAATTAATTGAATGACAGTGTCACAGCAAAAATTAGTAGGAATAAATATTTATTGATTCAAACATGCACTTTTGGGAACATGAGTATCCTGCAATTCTGAAAGTCACTTTGTAAAGAACTTTTAAAATTTCTTAAAAAGCTTCCCAGCAGTTTTACACTGACAACTGACTGCTGTTGTTAATAATAGGAAATGTACCGATTCGTGTCTTCTCTGAGCCCACGTTGAATGCTGTAACCAGGTTTTCCAAGAAAAGACGAACCAATCTGAAGTTGAATCTTCCAATACTCCATGAACCATCGACCAGGATTACAATGTCAGCAATGGCTGGAGTTTGACAGAAAAATTTCACTTCTGCAAAGCACAAACCAGAAAAGCACATGTATTACTGTTGGAACTTCTAAAAGAGAGAATCTATTTTAACGTCTTTCAGATAACTTTAGTGCTAGGAATACAAAAAGGTGCCCATCAAAGCAGCCATCCTTTTACAACCTTTCCCTTAAATGCATTTTACTAGGAAAAAAAAATTGTGGTAACGGTTGGCAGTAGAGCCAGTGTTCTGGAAATAGTTAGGAAAATACTGGCAGGTTCACACCATCCTGGCAACTCAGTCTTCTGCGTATTTCAGAAAGTAGTATCTGTGCAAAATCATCCAGCTTTGGGCTTTCGCCTGCAGATTCTTTCCAGGAAAGGTCTTAGCAACACTAGTGTGCGCCAGTCAGCCGAGATGGGAAGATGGCCAAACGGCAAAAAGGCAGCTCTCCTATTCTGATAAATCTGTGCTGGAAGAAGTGATAGAAGAGAAATATGGACTTCCTGAATTCAAGGAAAAGTCAGGGCCATGCATCTAATCTAAGAGATGTGCACAGACTTTTGCTAAAGTAGGAAGGGTTTTTGGAACATGATAATTGAAAAAAGGCCTGAGAGTTTCCTCAAATTCAGTTTTTTTGCATATTGTGTCTATGTGACAATAAGAATTTTTTTTGATTTTTTAATTTTTTTTTTAATTTCAGCATGTTATGGGGGTACAGATGATTAGGTTACGTATGATGCCCTTACCCTCCCTCCCCTCCAAGTCCAAGCTTCAAGTGTGTCCATTTCCCCGGAGGTGCGCATCTCACTCATTGTTTGTGCATATGCC